AATTATATGGCTTTTTAATTTCTCACTCTCTCTTTTTCTCTCACTCACACAGTTGCTTTAGGTTTAATTGCACCATGTTTCAATAGTCAAACAAAGAGGGAGAAACACTTTAAAAAAGATGTGGCAGCACTATGAAAACATCGGTAATGCATTAGAAAAAAATTCTCCAAAATGTACATTTTGTACAAAATAAGATTGTATTTGTTTCTTTGTTTCTTTACATTTGTCCACCTCTGAATTCCCGTTTCAGGTTTCCATTCTCATCCTCCGAACACTATACATATTGTCTCTCAAAATAAATATACAGGATTATGTACAAGGTCACAAGGCCCATTGGATCATCGCTAACCCACTTAAAAAATCACAAAAAGGGTGGGAGGGGGCATCCAGAGGCCTCTGATGAGTCCCATAAATCCCCCTATTTGAACTCTAAATGTGTGTGAAGACAGACCAGTGGAACAAAGGCCAACTTGACTTAGCTTTAAACAAGAGTGAGAGGCACAAGACCCGGGGAGATGTTCCAGCAGACACCAGGAAGGCCCCAGGCCCGTCCCTGCCAAACCCCAGCGATGCCCATTGGGATGACCCCACAACAGGCCACGCTTCCGTGTCAGCCCAGAGCACGAGCAGGCAGCGATCACAGAATCACAGAATCACCCGCGTTGGAAGGGACCTCAAGGATCATGTAGTTCCAACCCCCCTGCCTAGCAGGGCCACCAAACGTACACATTCAGATCAGGTTGCCCAGGACCCCGTCCAACCTGGCCTTGAACACATCCAAGGACGGGGCATCCACAACCTCCCTGGGCAGCCCGTTCCAGGGCCTAACCACTCTCCTTGTGAAGAACTTCCCCCTAACATCCAACCTAAATCTTTCCTCCTTCAACTTGGATCCATTTCCCCTAGTCCTGCTGTTGTCAGCCCTTCTGAAGAGTTTACTCCCCTCCTGGGTGTAGGTTCCCTTCAGGTATTGATAGGCTGCAATGAGGTCACCCCGCAGCCTTCTCTTCTCCAGGCTGAACAAGCCCAACTCCCTCAGCCTGTCCTCATAGGGGAGGTGCTCCAGCCCCCTGATCATCTTAGTCGCCCTCCTCTGGACCCTTTCCAAGATCTCTACGTCTTTCTTGTACTGAGGGCTCCACACCTGGACACAGTACTCCAGATGGGGCCTCACAAGAGCCGAGTAGAGAGGGACAATCACCTCCCTGTCCCTGCTGACCACCCCTCTCCTGATGGAGCCCAGGATCCCATGGTGCGATCCTCTGGTGCTGTATGTTTAACTGGTGGAGTTAACAGGAGGGCTGTCCATTCATTCAGGAGCTACGAAGAGCGAGTTTCCACTTTTATTTTTGAAATAAGGGGAGAAAGAGGAAGATGCTGCACTTTACACAGGGAACGTAAAGGTTTAACGAATAAAACTGTACTTCAAGCTGCTTCTGTCATTGTCTCAGCATCAAATGATTGCTTCCATTCTTGAAACGACACCTTTTGGTAAACGAGCTATTCTAAAAGGCGTTCATTGGTGAAAGATTAATTCCTTCGTCAAGGTTGGCTCTGAGGAAGAAATTGGAATCTGAAGGTGATCAAATCCACAGTGTTTTCAAGTGGAAAAGATCAAAGCGCTCGATAGCTGTGCATTAGCACACCACTGTGTTCATAATGGAATTGTTACATAGCTTAAACATTCACATTTGGAAAAAAGCTATGGTAATAGCTAGAGTTTTTCACAAAATAGAAAGAGGGCAGAGGAATCTCACACAGGCCCGAGGGACTGCACAGAGAGCCAGGCACTTTCTATCTTGGAAGTTTGCCCCTGTTTTTGTGTCTCGTTTTTCTCATTACAAAACCCTCCTCCAGCAACAGATCTCATTCAAATCATAACTGGGAAGGGTTTCTCTTTTTTTTTTTTTTCTTCTTTTTTTTTTTTTATTTAAATAAATTCAATTAAAAAATCATCAGCTCTTCCAAACTCTACTCCCTACTTTTGCTCTGCTTTGATGGTATGGATCTGTTCACATTCATCCATCCATCTCACCCCTGATTAAATTAAGGTCAGTAACCTTTACAAAAGGCCACATGAGAAACACTCAGTCAAGTCATCAGGCATTCAAGTACCTGTAAAGTAAAGGCTAACATAGCCTGCTGTTCATGAAAAATAAAAAAATAATTTAAAAAACTACAAAAGGAGCAACAAGGAATGAACCTTGTTTCAGCACCATCTGAATTAAGTGTGGAAAAAAAGGATAAAGAACCATTAACTCGCATGTAGGATGTAATAAAAGGGTGATTGTGGAACAACAGGGCTCTACCTGACACAGCCATGAAAAGGCCTGGAAGTACACCCGGTGTCTGCAGGAGCACTGTCTGACAGCACCCACATCAGGCATACCAAGCTGAACACCTGCATTGAATCTGCATCCAGTTCTTCAAATGGGTGCTGGGGCATACATACAAACGAGATACATTCCTTCCTAGGGTGATGGGTCTGCCTGGTAACCTGCTGCAGAGGGGAATGTGCGCATCTATTCTGAGCCTTCTGCAGCTAAGCCCATTATTGTTTCTTGCTTAATTAGTGATCTGTAAACAGAAAGAACCTCAAAACTCATTCAGAGCTTTAGCAGTCTCCCTCAGCCACCCTGAAAAGTGAGGGTGACACAACATCAAACAGCTTAAAAGCCTGGCCTTACTTGCTGCACTCCAACACTGATGAGCCGCTCCCATTGCTAAACAGCCAAAATGGCACTAACTGAAAGACAGGAAGAATTGCAATTCTCATTTTATGTAGGGCTCCTCTTTCCCACTCTCTATCCCCAGCAATGCTGAGGACACATCCACACACCCTGCCTGCCTCATCCAGTGTCTGATGTGTGCTGCAGCAGATCTGAGAAGATATATTCCTGTCCCTGGAGGAGCTGCCTGATTTTCAACAGCACTAAGTAGCATGGGTACCACTTTATGGGATGTGGAGAGCTGAAATTTCAGCTCACCATACAGAGATGGGAGGACAGACTGCTCGCCTTCCTCCCTGATCCTGTCTACCTACTCCTGTCTCTCCATGGAACTTTCCATATGCTGATTTAACTCTCTAAAATGGCATTACAAAATCACCAACCACTTTTTTGCCCCTGGCTGGCAGCAGGCACAAGGTGAGACTATGGCCAGGGCAGAAATGGATGGAGCTGAGGAGGTACCTCTTCCTTCCAGCAGCACTCAGCTACTGGCTGCAGCCCCATGCGTGCTGCGATCAATTCCTGTAAGGATTTGGTTCAGACTCAATGCAAAATGTCAAGAACCTGATGTTCCCGCCCTAACTCGCTGTGCTCTGTTCAAATACTGCTGTACAAATGCAAAGCCAACCACACCTTGCAAGTCTTTACATGCCACACTGCAAACAAACATCTAGTAATATCTACTTTACAGTTCTAAAGCAACTTTCAGTTAGGGATTTTGATCTTGCCATCACAAGAGAAATTGTTTAAGCTTTATGGCATTCCCTCTAATACCAGTAGCTACTGCTCAAATGAGGACCTGTGCACACCATGGTTAAGGAAGTTGATAAAAGCTGTGCAGTACATCAGCGTTTGAGCCTAAACAAAACGTTAGCCCTGTTGCACTGTCTCTATTTATATCACAGAAATCCAGAACCATTTCATTTGGAAGGGACCCTTAAGGCCATCTAGTCCAACTCCCCTGCAGTGAACAGGGACACCTACAGCTAGAGCAGGGTGCTTAGACCCCCGTCCAGCCTGACCTTGCAGGTCTCCAGGGATGGAACATATGCTACATCTCTGGGCAACTCGTTCCAGCGCCTAGCCATCCGTAGCGTAACAACATTCTCCAGCTACTCTTCACCCCTGCTACAGAACAGCCTGGATGCCAAGGAATGAGGTATAGGAAGGTTCACTGGTCCTTGCTGGGCACCGTCACTATATGCTCTTGCTGTTGAGGTGGTTATCACTGTAGAACACTCCAATGCACCTCACAGAGATGTGAGACTGTGAAATGTTTTTAAAGTGCTTGTTGTTTTAGCAAACCATCACAGCACCTTCCTGACCCTTTGTTTTCACTCTTCACTTGAGAAAACGCATAAATAAGCAAAGCATTACAGAAAAGTGAACAATTGGGATATTCCAACTTAAAAAATGCTTCCATCTGAAATGATAAAATCATTTTGGGAGTGAGCTACACCGGTACTTTCAAGGCAGGCTTCAGCCCAAGTTACCCTGCCTCATGCAAACCCAAGAGAACCTGCTGCTGCCAGTACTGATCTCTGACAACATATTTTGCTTCAGGTGCAGAAATCCAGAAGGGAATTTCTCCAACTATTTGCATGTCCAAAAAATGAAAAGAAAAAACGAAAAAAAAAAAAAGAAGAGAGAGAGAGCGAGAAGCCCACAGTTTGATTCCATATAAAACACTTTGTTACACGCCCAATTCCTGCTCTGCAAGAACTAACATGCTCCCTTTTTGCACCAACACCCCTTCTGCTCTCCAAACAAAGCTATTTCTGGAGACTCAGTGGCTGTGGCCTGGCAGCAGCGCTGCCCCCAGCCATACTGCTCTGGCCCAGCAGCAGGGCCATGGGGACAAGGCCTTGCTGCGAGCAGCCCCTGTTCCTGCGTGCATGAAGGCCCCGCTGCCATCCTGCTCCTGGCACGGCTGCTCCTCTCCCTGCCCAAAGCCAGGCATCAGCCAGCAGGAACTGCACACGCTGTGGGCTCTCTGGTTTTCTGCCCGTCCAAAGGAGCTCTGCCATAGCGGCCACAACCGGCTTGTGGAAAATGAAGAGAAGAAATATCACAAAAATCAGCAGTTAAGGAGAAACATAATACTTCATTTCTGTCCTGCTTGTGCTCAATTTGTTCCTGAACCTGCTGCATTTTCTCCCCGTGAGATTCAAGCATTTAACATTGCAGGGGAAAAATGAATGAAAATTGCTATGACAATCAAACGCATGAAAGAAAGAAATGGCAGCTTTGAAATATTCACAACCAACACAATTTTGATTAAAGAAAGAACTCTGTTTTTAATAGTTTTTTTTTTTTATCATTAAAAAAGTTTAAACCTGCATAGCAATCATTTCAAAAATAATTATTTAATGTTCCATAATGAAACTGTACACAACCTAGTCGTGAGCGACAGAGGCCTGCCGGGCAGGGAAGCAGTGCGGAGCCGCGCACCGCCGGGTGCCGCTCGCCATGTCCGGGTGCGGCCGGGCCCGGCACAGTCCGGCTCCAGGCAACGGCGGCCGTGTGGGGCTGGGGCAGCTGGGCCCCATGGGCAGCGCTCCTCAGAGTCGTTCAATGTCTCGGTATTTCTTCCTCAGGATGGAGACCTGGTCTTTAAAGAGGACGGGGTCGAGCCTCATCTGAGAGTGGATCAGCGGCATATAGCCAAACCAGCTGGCGAAAGTGTTCATGCAGCTCTGCCGTTGGGCGAAGTGGTCGGGGTCAGCCCAGCGTGAGGCCCGGGATGTCTGTGTGGAGAGGAGCAGAAGTTAAGCAGTGACTGGAAAGAAGGCAACGAAATGGCAGCAGAGGGTGGGTGCCTCAGCCTGGGAGACACAGAGCCGTGCAGCTGCAACAGGGCTTGGTAGAAGCCTGCCCTGCAGCACTGTCTACAGAAATCTGCTCTGTGAGGGGCATCAAGTCAGAGGATGGACACCCCATGTGTAATGGCAGCTGCTGATGGCAGGCTGGCCTCCCTGGCCTCCAAAACCATGCTAAGGGCCACACAGCATGGTGAGCAGAGTCTCACTGTGTCTAGTGTCACCCACATCATGACAATCCTGGGCAGGCCTCCCATCACCTGCCAGCACATTGCCTCACCTCATCTCTCTCTATTTTGGGAGAGAGCAAGACATTAAAAATCACAGGGAGGAGGGGAGGGGAAGGGAGGGGAAGGAGGGAGGAAGGGAGAGGGGAGGGGAAAGGAAGGGGGAGAAAAGGGGGGAGGAGAAGGGAGGAAAAATGGGAGGAAAGGGAAGGAGAGAAACGGAAAGGGAACAGGAGAGGAAAGGAAGGAGGTGAGGAAAAAGGAAAAGAAAAAGGAAAGGAAAAAAGTCCAGACCTCCAGAAATCGATATGTATTTCAAGTGGCTTGTAACTAAGCTCAATTGAAGTCCATACATGCCTAACATTACTTGTTTGCAAATGTCCAGCAGGGAAAAACAGATTGCTTCCACAAAGCGCATCTGTCCAGACCAGTGCAGAAGACAGTAGTGTCTTAGAGAAAATAAACTGAAGTTCCACATTACATCATGATAAACTCTGATGTGAGGAAAACACCACAGGTTGCATATATGTAAAATTCTATGGACTAATTTTCTAAAGCTGAGGACAGCTATAATTCCAATGAAAGTCTATTGAAAATCAGCATCTCTGAAAAAATAAGACCTAACAGCCTGAATGCAATTATTGTTCTATATCTGTACTTAGAGTACGTGTATGAAAACAATAGAGCTATTATTTAAGGGAAGCTATAAATGCTGTGAAGCTGCTCCATTTTGTTTTGTGCCACTTCTCATGCATCTCTATAGCACTTATGTTTCTACTACACTTTAAAAACAAATATCATAAGCTCAAAGTGCGTTAATTAAAATGTGAAGAAGCTGATGAAGTCAGGGAATTGCCAAAGGATTGTTGTATCAGACTTGATCTTTATCCAAGGCCTGTCCAGTTCAGCACAAGTGGTAGCTTATTATGTGCATTGATTATGGACTCTTGATTATACAGAGTCACTAAAGCTTGTTGCTGGAGGATTAAAGCAAATATTCTGACCATTAGCAATGAATTTCCATATGACTGTTAATCTCTGTCACAACACTGAGGTTATGTTTTTTTATTTGTCTTTCAAGGAATTATGAACATAGTCCATTACATTTCCCAAAGCTGCACAAACAACTTGTCTTTAGGAGAGAGTTATAGTTCATAGATGACTCAAGCTACCCACGCTGAAAAAAGAAAAATGATTGTTCAGCCATTGCCAAACAGCCAAAGAACATTCCTGTGCAGTGGCATACAGATAATGGAGTCTACAAAGTGGCACAGTCACTCTCCTGCCAAAGACATGGACAACGCTAGTAGGAGAAAATGTGAGGGGAAAAAGAAAGCCTCTTCATTCTGCCTGACCCCCCTTCCCATAGCAAACCTGGAAGTATTGATAATAGACATTGTGGCAGCACAGATAGATTACTTAGGACTTGTCCCTGTTCCCATTGCTCAGTCACACAAGGGAAGAGCAGATACCCTTCAAGTTAACCTGTGTCCTTGTTGCTAGAATATCCATTTCTGCAATTACAGAATACTTAATAGATGGAAGAGGCCCCACAGTACCCACTTCATGGCTGCTAGTGAGTTATAATGACACCATGCAACAAAACATACCTCTGTTGTGACAATCAGCACTTGCAACACACAATATACTTCAAAACAGCACGGAGGTACGATACGCATTATATATCCCCAGTACATAAGGAATATATATAATCCCATTATATGTCTACTAGTATATAATATTCATTAAAAATAATTAAAAATATAAAATCTTTTCAGAATTTACTTCTGCTTCTAGCATTCCATGAGGTCTTCTCTCCAGAATATTTAATTAGAAAACTGGGAGTTTAACTAAAATTCAGTCACTAAAATAAACGTTCCATGAGTTTGGGATCACTGTAAGTAACACAGTGTAAGAAATTAAGAAGTAGGTGCCTGCCAGTACTCCTTCTGGATTTTCTTTCACTATAGTAACAAAATCTATACTGTAACTTATAGCTCTGTCAAGCTAAAAACTGCAAAAAACAGCCAGAATGTTATTCATTCTGTAAGCCTAATATGGAATTCAAAATGTTAAATATTAATACATCCCGACAGCTAAAATAATCCATGGATACATACCTGTCCCATCATGGTCTCCTTGTACTGTTTTTTCTGCGTTACTTTGATTGGAGGCAATTTTGTCACAGCTGACACCAAAAAATTCATTAGAATGTCCTCACAATTGGCCAGTTGGTCCACCATATTCTTTAGGCTGGCAGGCAGGTAATGAGTGTACAGGTAGTGATAATATCTGGAAAGTAACAGTAGGGTTATTAAGAGAATTAATAATTCAGCATTAATTAAGAAACAAAATATAAGAATATTATTAATATTAAGAAACAAAATATATAGCTTTAAAAAAAAAAACCTCGGTTAAAAGAAATAATGCAGACCTATGTATCAAGAAGTAGGACTTAGAGCACTTCCACTGTTATACTGTAATTGCCAATACTGATTCATCCCCCATCTTTCTTTTCAAAACTGTTCAGTCAGAGGAACTCCATTATATCAGCCTGCTACTGTCCTCATTGTTCAAACTATTCTCCTTCGGACCTCTATCATCCCCTACAGTCTGTCCTCTCCTCTGCTAAGATCTGGATTAGGTACTGAAGAATATGTTGACTTTTTCCTAACATCTAGAGATGCCTTTGGTCTGCGGAAGTTCTAACAACAGGGGTTTTCTCCAGTATGCTGCAATATGCTGGCCTACAATGTGCCCATTGCACTACGTTTTTAGAGTAGCCAGAAGACTTTGCAGACTGCAGCTGTCAGCCAGCACATATCCAGTGCTGGTCTGGAAGTAAACTCCTTTCTGCTATGCTACAGGCCATTCAGTTGAGCAGCTTAATGAATTCGGGAACTCTTTGAAGTGCGTAATTCCTGATGTTAAAAAGAGTGGTCCGACCGCCTCAAAATACAAGTGACTTCAAAGGGACCCAACAAGCGCAATAATGATTACCAGATCCCCAGAGCTAAACTGAGAACTTAAATTATTACCCCATAAAAAGTAGACCCATTTATTATCTTTCCATTTTTTCCCCTCCCCGGAAGAATGTCTTTCATTTCCCACTACCACTTTGTTTCATACAGAAGGAGAACAGCTGATGCTTTGGGTTCTTACTTGTGGTAAATAGCAGCTCCTGTCAATACCATGGAATAGTCATTAGTCCACTTGGAGGTATAGCCCCACCTCTCTTTAGTGTTGTCCCAGAAGTGACTGCGAGCAGGGTACCCCACAATCCTCTCCGGGAAACTCTGCCAAACTGTAAAGGCAAAATCCACCTGCAGACAAAGGCACAGACCAAATGAATACCAAAACTGTTTCAATAAATGTCGACAAACAAAATATTACCTTGCCACTAATTCATAATTCAAAATCTTGGAACTGTTGCAAAACATTAATTCTGTGTATTCATCAGTAAATTAAACTGACTGCTTGACATTTTGCCCTATAATTATGCACATTTTAATGGTTTCTATTAAAGGGAGTCTAGAGCATCACAGCATTACATTAACATTTTCAAGCTTGCCCTTTACATATCAAACCTTTTCAAGTTACAGAAAGAACTGTTGTAGGTGCATGCATTTGTACGAGGGCTGCTCCAAAAGTAATGCCTCCTATTTTATGATGTTGGCCTACGAAATCAGAGGTGGATATTGGTGGTATGGCAGTAGAGGCTGAACCTTCCCACCAATATTCCATTCCCCATTGTTATCATGCTGTAGATGGCAGCAGAGGGGCAGACTGACAAAATGACAGGAATATGAACTGTCAGATTCAATGTCAGGAAAAATTCCTTCTCCAAAAGTGTGGTTAGGCACTGGAGCAGGCTGCCCAGGGCAGTGGTTGAATCACTGACCCTGGAACTGTTCACAAAACATTTAGATGTACTAGAAGACACAGTTCAGTGTCTTCAGGGAAATATTGGTGGTAGGTGGACAGCTGGAGTGATCTTGGATGTCTTTTCCAACCTTGGCGATTCTATGAAAACAGTGTTTGATATGGAAGTGTGTATGAAGCAAAGATATGGAACTGAATTCCTCCAAGTGGAAAAAATGGTGCCCAGTGACATTCACCAATGCTTGCTGAACACTTATGAATATCAAAAGGTGGATGTCAGCACAGTGAGGTGGTGGGTGGTGAAATTCAGAAGTGGCAACAATGATGTGAAAGACAAGCCACATTCTGGATGAAATGAAGAGCGTCTTGATCAGCTCGTCCACATGAACTGATAGATCACAACCAGGGAACTATGTACAGGGCTAAATACTGGCTTCAGTGTTGGACACAATGGTGACAATGTTGGAATGTCACAAAGTTTGTGCCAGATGAGTCTCTGAAATGCTCACACAGGAACAGAAAGAACAGCATGTGCAAGTTTGTCAGGACCTATTGAACCAACATGAGGCTGAAGGGGACAGTTTCCTGGATCACAACATCACTGGTGGCGAGATGTGGTGTCATCATTAACAACCATAGTCAAAACAGCACTCCATGGAGTGGTGACATTTGAATTCCTCATTGAAGAAAAGGTTCAAGATGCAGCTGTCAGTGGGTAAAGTGATGTGCACTGTCCTTTGGGTTAGGAAGGGGGTGATCCTTCTGGATTTCCTGTAACCAGGACAAACCATCGACTCTGACCATCACAACACTAAGCTGAAGGCTTGAACTTCCAGTGCCAGGCCAGAGAAGAAAACAATCCTTCTCTTGCAACATAAGAACACCAAGCCCCAGACCCATTTGAAAATCATGGAGCACCAATCTGGGCTGGACTGTCCTACCACACCCAGCATATAGTCAAGATTTGGTGCCTCCTAACTTTCATCTGTTCAGCTTGACAAAAGGTGGATTGAATGGGCAACATTTTCTTATCAGTAACACTGTCATAGCAGCTGTCAAAAAGAGGGTCACTTCTACTGGTCAATTTTTATGTGTGGCATGCAGTCTCTTGTTCATCACTGGCAAAAATACACAGTTACAGGTGGTGACTATGTGAAAAATATTATCATGAAGCTGTTACGTAGAATTTGCTCTATCAAATAGTGATACCATGCTCTTTATATCTATTGTAGTTTCCATGAAAATAAATAGGAGGCATTACTTTCAGAGTGGCCTGCGTACTTACATGCAATATAGAGTGCTAAAAGCCATGTGGATAACTGAACCTTTTGCACATATTCATGCATTTCACTTACCTACCATTTCAGTACTGTCAACAGAAAGCTTGGAAAATCAGGAATCAAACACCTTAAATTATAGGGGTGGCTTGGTGAGATTAAAACAAGCAATCAGTGTGGATTTCTTTTATATTATCCATCTGTTCTGAGCCCTTAATGTGCTGAGGTGACACCTTTAAGACTGTATGTATGACCACAAGGGTTAAAATGATAGCTTAATAAAAACAGAGGTAGATTCCATAGGAGTCTGTGCTTTAAAAAAAATGGATTTTACTGTATAAATCACAAGAAGATATTAAATGCTGACATAAAGATTCTTTCATTTATTTATTTATCTCACTGAAACTAGCTTAATAATTCAAACCTTAGGGAACTGAAAGGTTGATACGGGATTGCTGCCCTGGAATCCCACCAAACAAATAAGAGGAAAGGGATGGTTGGGGTAGTTTGCAGAAGGCTCACCAGCATTTGATTTGAAAGGTGTTTGGTAAAAACACATATGGAAAATTTTTTATTTATGTTTTATTTTCTGTGAAAGTTGGTTGGCAGTCCCTTCAATTCAACTTGGCTCAAGCTAGATTAAAATTTTAAAAAGAAAGACAACTCTGATTGTTCCATTCAAATCCAAGAGAAAGGGGGTCTTGTTTCTGCATTGCATAGTTCCCTCTGTACCAGAGGGACCAAAACCTTGCTCAAAAATGCTTGGAAAACCTTTCAAGAATACAGCCAAAGTCAAGGGTGTAGAGGTTAGACAAAGAACAGCTGCTATGAGAATAGTCACATTTTGTGTGATTGTTGTCAGACTTCCCTCATTTACAAGCACTTTTATGAAACAGAAGAGTCACACATGTACTGGAACACAACACTAAGGACTGGTTACTTTCTTTCAAGTTGTTTCAAGGAATCTGAGGCCAACTAGAAAGTCAATGTGCACAAACCAGTTATCTTTTTGATAGTTCTGATCGCATCCAAATCAGTACCACATGAAAGAGCTAAAGGTTTTTTCCCTGTCCTATAAAGCCTGACATCTGTTTTCTTTAGAGACGTTTGAGAATCTCAAACTTAAATAAATAACAAAGCAGCAACACCCAGTGTCTTCACTTGTGTATTCAAGTATCTGCCCTTGTACCCACTAAACCAACCATCCTAACAGAAAAAACCCCAAACTGGTCCTTATCCTGTGTAATTTTGCAGCATTGCCACTCAGATGATCAGCAGGAAAAGCCAATCCGGCTGCCAGTCCCTTAAATCCTCATACTATTCCTAACTCACACTGATTTCTAATTACTTCCCACACAAACATCCCTCTGTGCACATGACAGAGCTCTTCTCAAGAGAGCAACCACACGCCGTTCTGCTGCAAAGGGGAGACTGATAGTCCACAAGATCTGGACAGGGCAGAAGATGTGTCTGGCAACTGCTCCTCCCAGCAGGAATGTGATCATGTTTGACCATGCTGCTAAACTGCTTCTTCTGGTCCCTGAAGCTTTGCCACAATGACCACCCATGAGCAGTCAGTTCTGAGGCAAGTTTCATAGTGCACACTATGCACACTCAGCATTTCAAACAGGCTGTTTCTTTGTGTAAGCTGCGTGATGAGAAGTGAAGGAGAAGAAAGAACTCAGTTCTTCTCAGAGAGCCACCAAAAGCACAGGGACAGGAGGCTCAGAGCCAAAACCTACCATGCAAACACGCAGCATCGTGCTTACAGGAGGGAGGAATCCACAAAAAAACGCATACATTATGTCACACAACAACAAACACTTGCATTTCAAAATGTTCAGTGTAAAATACAGCCAAGCCAAATGAGAAAAACCTTGTCTCACATGCATTCCAGAAGTCCGAATGACTACAAAATAAGGATAATGATAAATACTAGGCAAAAAGAAAACAAAAGCCCCAAATCCTCCTGCAATCCACAGGCTGGACTGCTGTACCTACTACCTCAGTACAATGAACCTGGCAGTTTTTACCACGAGGAGCTGAGATAGCTCTCTTCATCCTGAACAAAAAGCTGCTTAGGATCTCCAGCCCCAGGACAAATGTCTTCATTTCAGTGTTTAGGATTTCTCAGGCTGCACACATAAATGATTTGGGAGCAGCTGTATTCTTTCTCATCTTGCAGGAGCAACCAGGATGTAACCTTGGTATCGCATAGGTTCAATGCCATTTGAGAAGCAGAAGAGGGCTACCATGGCTCCATCTGGAGCAGCTTAACCACAGCACAAGAAGACCATACCGGGGAGAACAACACCTACAATCTCATCCATTTAGAACAAATTCAGTGACATCTTAGGATATACAGCAGTGACTGGTGGCTAATGTTAGGCATTTCCTCACTAGCAGCAATTATATCAGTGAAAAGTCCACATCACTGACAAAGAAAGCGCTTTTATAAAGGTGAAATGAGGAGGAAAAGAATAACCATGAACATGGGGGGTAAAAAAAAAGGGAAAACAAAAGAAAATCAATTTTTTCAAGCTATTCCCTGGCCGTCATTAATAATGTATTTCCCAAATATTGCACTCTATATAAACTGTCAACAGTTTCCCCTGTGGTTCTTGGAAAGAGGTTCCAGAAATCAATACTCATCCCAGTTGTAAAAATTGCTTTTCTACAGTATTTTTCTTCCTTAGCGCTATCTTCCTCTTAGCACAAACACTCCAACACCCCAACTAGCCAAGATCTCCAACTTTATGGGAAGACACAACAGCCAGCAAGAAAACATTCCCCAGCAAATGCTGTATTAGATGGCAATGCTCTCTTTTGGAGCAACAGCAATCCCCTGCTGCTGACACCCCTTCTTTCCCCACCTACATCCTACTGGTAGCACAGGGGGAAAAAAAACCTATCCTAATCAGAAAAGTGAGAACAGAGTTAAAGTCGACTGCTCCTGGCTGCCTACACCCGCCCGCAGCTATGTTACTAAAATAATAAAGAGCGGAAGAACCATATGCTAATGATGAGCCAATTAACCGAGGTGAAAAGCTCTTCTGATGGCAGTCAGTGGCAGGGTTTCTGAAACAAGTGAAAAACAGAAAATCTGAGGAGTATCACAGGAAACCTCTTAACATTTGGCCACCAGCAAGAGAAGAGCCTATCTGCTGTGCCAAGGATTGGCCAAGGAGCCGGGCAGGCTCTCCAGATGTCAGAGGCGCTTACCTCAGTGGTTGAAAGCACGGTGTCCTCGTCCAGGCTTAGCACTGCATCTGTCACTATGTTGTCGTAGGGTAGGAAGCGACTGCTCATAACCTGTGGGTATCCAAGGCAGGAAAGGGAAGAAAAAAAATCACTTAAAGGACTAATTTCCCTGGGAAATACTCTATTTCATTCCTCACTCCTATGTCCTTTCATCTGAGGCACACTGCATGTCTGTCTGACAGAAAGGACCACTCAGCTCATGAGGGAAAGAATGACATTTTTGTCACCCCAGCAGTCAGTTTATACCTCCTAGCTGAGGAATAATTTCTGAACAGATCTCTCTCTTTTGAGTAGGCTGCTTTCCTTATGTGACAAACTGTCATGGTCCACACTGAGAATTAGATGTACCAGAGCTTCCCTGGAAGCTAGTTCTGTACCTCTGCTCTTCCATGGGGTGTGAGGCTTAGAGACAACGAAGTGCTGACAAGAACTCTGTAGTGCTCGTAAGGTTACGGCTAGGAAGCCAAGAAGTACATGTGTGTGGAGGAAATTATGCTGCCAGGACTCTACCTCTGTAAGTGGCACAGCTCCATCTCTGGTCATTACTGCTGAATCAATAGGGAGCTGCTGCCATGTGATGCATTGTTATTCATCAAAAAAGGAGAATACATTAAGGAACTTGATTATCTGTCGGGCTTTGTTTGCAACAAGAATTATGTTGACCGTGTAGCATGTCTAAAAGTCACTTTTTTAAGTGACACAGCTATATACATATAAAATCTATATGCAGAATGTTTTTTTTTAAAGCATGGCAGGATAGTTCTCACTGAAATAGGAAATGGATGGGAAAGTGAAATCAAAAAGGTAACAGCAAGAGATGAGAATCCATACGGTTTCTTTACAAGACTAATCAGCACCTTCTGAGAACTGATGAGTGGTAATAAGGACACGATGCTATTTGTTTCCCTCATTTGCTAAGAAAAATAGCCTGGGTATGTAATAGACTTCCTTTCAAGCTTATTATGCCAAGAAATAACTACAAAAAGCAGGCCTTCTTGGGAGAGATCGTTTTCTGGAATCAAGGACACAGTGGAGTTTTGCATGTAGTACATTATGGTCGTGGTCAGTACTGTGTCCCTTGCAGCCTGTTCAGAAGCAGTACCCTAAATCTATGCCTCGATTCAGAGAGGGCTCTGCCTTCCATGTCAGGAGGTTCACAGTGTCTGTCTGGAGAGCATCTCTTCGCCACTGTGATGGGCCTCACTCCTGGAAGGCCATGGCTGTGAGGGAGAGGTGAGTTGGCAGGTTCTGGCAGTTTTGCTTTGCTTATGCAGAGGCAAAGCAGAACAAGAGGTCATCGGGAGACCAAGACTCTCATCCTATTCATTTATAGACCATGGAAAACAGACAGAATTACCCAGCTGTTTTTTTAGTAGTTAAAGCTCTCTGTTGTAAAATGCATGCGATAATATATCTTGATTTTAAGGACAGGAGTGCAGGTTAGGTAAAGGCAGACCTCTGCAATCCCCTGCACATAGTGACTGTGCCTGCCAGTATGCTTCCGTCAAGCCTGAAGATGAAAAAAGCAGTTCCTTTGTACAACCTCTGCACTGGACAGCTCTGGCTCTGCACACTTTGTCCAAACAAGCAGCTTTTCTGCACAAGAAGCCATTGGCGTACACTGGGATATTAAAAGAGATGAGACTGTCCACTACAAACACACCTTTGTGTACTCAGGAGACTCATTTGTAATCTAAACAGTGCCCGGGCCCATTTTGACAAACGCAGAGGAACCGGTCAAAGGTCTTCTCCTCTATCTCACCTCTGCAAGCTTTCCAGAAAGGAAAAAAAAACGTGCAAAGGCTCAAAAACCACTACAGCCTTTCTCAGTCCTGCAGCAACTCTCCTGATACATATATAAGGCTAGCTAAAGGCACATGCCATTAGATGAAAACTTTGCAGGGCCCTTGTTTCTCCCCTTATTAAGGTGATTGGGGCAAAAGATCGAAGATACAAACATGAATTCTAAACAGGACTGTACAGCCAAAGCAGCTGAAAGTTCTGTTTGCAAATGCAGAGCTTGAGAGCCAGATAATAGAGACGGAAAGGGGACCAGCCCACGTGTGTGTCACTCAGAGCCCAGGAGCCCACAGAAGCAGCCCTGCTTTTCTCAGGCCTGACTTTGGAGAGGAATCATCCACTTCACTGCGGATTTTAAAAAAATTTTTTTAGTTTGAGTGCTGTCTGTTTCAGCTCTGTGGAATTGCAAACAAACAAGTCTGTTGCACAACAGGAGATGACACAGTGGTTTCATTTCCAAGAAAGCAGCCCTTGTCCCTTCCTTTGTTTCATGGTGGGATCCCCTTGCTGACAGAAGTATCCTACACGGCCATGAAAGAAGGTACTTTTCAAAGGTGGGTTAGTGCTATTCACTCTCATCTTTTCCTCTGTTTTTGAGTCTGTAGCTGATCCCAAAGCCTTGCCTCTGACTGCTACAACTCAGTGAATCCAGCTGCATCACCACTTCCATGCATCTGCAGGGAGTAATCTCCAAAGATAAGGTCAGAACTACCCACTCTCAGAACCACATTTCAAAATAGGACCCCACCTATGAGTCTCAGGCTGCTGGCATTGATTGCCAGGCTGAGGATTTCTGAGAGCACGGCCAAGTGCATGAAATATGACTCTGTGACCAAGCTGACACAAGAGGCCAAGGAACAGAAAAGGACTGACGTGGAGTTGGGAAAGCTTTCATCAAAGCAGCTGGAAAAATAAATTTGGGTCCCATCAGAGAAAATATGCAATCTTTTATGATGCTTCTGTCCACTTACCTTGCTCTCTCCTTCAATGACTATGACAGGCACAGAAGTGGCAGGCCAGCGGTGTTTGGCTGGGAGGGGTTTATCACAATTCCATAAAACAATAATCTGAAAGAGAATATTGGACCACGATCACACACTGCTTTTGGCAATGCAGCCCAAGCCGTACAGATTCAGATCTCCAGATTTTGAATGTCAAGACTAACAAGAATGATACAAATCTGTATAAAAACAACATTTCCTACAGTAATTTCATTCATCCTAATTATATACATCCTCTCAAGTAAATGTAAGCTGAACAAGAACTCAGGAAGTCTCAGTTTAAGCCAGGTCACATGGATGTCACTGATTTACTTTGGCTAAAATACTTGTGATTCTCCATTGTAAGAGGGTGCTCCCACTGAACTCCTTGAGGTTTCTTTTAGAGGAGCTAAAATCTTGGCACTGCTGAGTCTAAGAGCCACAGTAGGAGGAAAGGTAATCATGTAGAGACTCTTGAGACACAGACATCCTTTTGCAGTTTGCAGCATACACAAACCTGATCTTCAAAGTGCAATCATTGTTCTACCTGTCTCCTGAAACAAAGGGGTTTCATTATTGTCTCTGTTCCAACCACATCATACTCAGAACTTTTGTTTCCCATGCATGCAGGTCACAGACACTAGACATCTCAGAGAAAGGAAACATGAGAACAGAAACAAGGGTTTGAATGTAGACTGAGAAGACCTGAAATCAATAGGCTCTTCACTCCTGGGACAGTAGTTCTGTCTCCAATGTGACTGACAAACAGTGCTGCTTACCTGTGCACAGTACTGGGACTTGGCTACAGCAACCAGGAGTTTCAGCACAGGCTGAGATTGGGAAACCAGAGGAGTTACTGCATGGATAACGGCAGTGAATGTGGGGAGAGGCTTCAGACCTGAAGCAAACAGATATGCATTCAGTAAAGACAAAATTGCCCCATTTAGTAGAGATTAAAGGACTTGGAGATGGTAAAGCAACCCGTGCTTAACGCAAGCCTTCCCAATCTTTTAGGTCATCTCTTTAAGTCATGGATCAGAGATGACACTTCACTTCACTCCCACCTCCTCTGAAATACCTGACTGCAATACAGTTACTGCCTTCTCTTGTTATTTCCACAGATGTCCTGTGATTTCTTTCCTTCATCCATTTTGCCCCACAGGTAATACCTAGTTTGCTCAATGAAATTTCTTGACATTGGCTGTCTGGTTTTGCTGCCCGGCTCTGAATGCATGACATTTTCTACAGGTACATCCCTCATTTCCGGAACTATGTTCTGTTTCCTTAGTTCTATTAAGCTGCTGTAAGGCTTTTGCTCTTTCTGGATCAATCCCCACCCACGTGCATCTTCAGTTACCTCCTGAGCTGACAATTCTATTTACATCCTTGCCTTTCAATTCTGGTATTTTTGTCTTGCTGTGATTTACTTTCCTGCCCGAAATAACAGGTCGTACTGGCTTCTGCCCTTCATTACTGCTCTCAGTCTTATCTACACTCATCTGTGTGGGGTCATAGTCCTTTTTCATTAAAATTCCCACAGAAACCTTCTCCTCCTTCTTTATGATGGTAACTGTGAATTTTTAGCAGGTGGGCAGCACAGATCACACAAGTGGGATGGCACAGCCTGTGCCAAAAGTGGAAGCAGTCTCATAAGCAGGATCACTTCAGACTGCAGACACACCCCCCACAGAATTCATCACTGAATCTGTTTCAGAAAAAGCCACGGACCTAACTTCTATTCATTCCCTCTACTGGAATCTGTAAGAGGACACAGAGTATGGAGAATAAATCCATACCCACTATGCACTCCAATTATAAGTGTCATGGGTAAATTACCACTTTTCCAATTTGCCAAACACAAATAAACAAAGTAAGCAAAAAAACCCTATCCTTCTTATGTCCCCTTGGGCCACGAACGGGTCAGTAATTCAGGCATTAATTACCGGCAACTGGAAAGTATGAAGGGACCCAATTTTTTTTCAAAACAATATTTGCAAGCGAGAGGCACATGATGCATGTTGATGAGTCAGAGACATTCCAGTCTGCAGTGAGCAGGGAATGGAAAGAGGAAGCATCAGTAACTAGATATGAATGGTAAGTCACCTGGCACATCCTATTCAATAATCAACGATATTCCCGATACCACTGCAGTGTAGGAAGAGTTCACTCACCGAGATTAGCATAGTAGTAAGGAAAATCTCCCAGATATGAGGAATACTGTGGCAGTACAAATAACCCTCCAGGATGTTTGTTCCATATTAAGCTGTTACGTGATATGTGCTTAAATATTCTGTCCTGAATAATCTGGAAAACAAGAGAGGCAATGACTATTAACAGACTCTAATAGCCACTGGTAGAAGCTTCAGGGACACCAAATGACTGGAATCATCATTCAGTTTGCAGAAAGCTGAGTCACACAAATTCTGAGACATTCCTGCTTCATCTCTCTCAAAATGACCAGTATACTGCAACGCCACTCCAGCAGCTCAGGCTTTGTGCAGTAGGCTTCAGAGCACCTCATTACTCTCTGTGGATGTGGGGACCTTGCAATTCACTGCCTTCTGTATTTAAAGTCAATCGTTTCATCTATTAGAGTGAGTTAGTGGTAGTATGCCTGATTAGTGCATTGTCAGTTTTACTATCCAGAACTCACACAAGATAATTATTTTAGGATGGCATTACAAAGCGAGGTATTATTTTGAGATAACAAGAGCATTCAAAACCACAAAGACTTTCAGCAAATCAAGCTGCACTAATTATTCATTTTTGCTTATTATAAAGGGTTATTAGTATTCAGATACATCACTGATTCTACGTCTCAGTTCAGCAACAGCTCCTTGGCTGAAAAAGAAGATCTTTCAGCAACTCTGCTGTCTATCTTTGTGGAGGGCCACAAACACAGATTCCCAGACTTTTAAGGGCAGACCAATTTGATAGGTCATCTACTTTATCATCTGGAATACAACAGGCCACAAGAAAGATACACAGCCATAGAATTAATTTGTATTTGTAAAACTAATTGCAGCTACTTCAGATCAGTTGCCACTATGTAAGAACCAGTCTGGTTCTTACACCAACAAGAGCTTTCCCAAACTTGCTGCAAAGGCATAACAACATTCAGCAGTGAGAAGTTAAAACTAGACAAATTCAGCAGCCCAAGACGACACAATCTTCTAAGTACAATCTGCTGTTGGGCCACACTGCTGTTGGGTTCTTACAGATTTGTCTTCCTTGGAAACACGAGAGATTGGCATGTCTGGCAACAGGATATTGGAAGGGGCTGGGGGATGCTGAAGGGAGAATCCTCTGCTAAGACAGCTAAGCGAGATTTCCTTGCCTCCTTCTGCAGCTCATCTTCTGGGATCTCCTAAGGAGATTTCATGGAATTGGTGGTTTATGCACTGCACAGGGCTCAAATGCCAGCAACATGTTGGTTCTCTTTGGCCTTTACCTGGGCTTATCTGGGTGAAACCCTGTGGCTCTGGAGCAAATCCGATCCCTAGGTCCATTCTGGCCTTATAGTCTATGACACTAAAGAAGGTCTATATCTACAGCATAGGAAAAAAAAAAGCAAGCAAAAAGACCTCAAATAACAAAAGCCAAAGAAAAGCAGCTGCTCCAGTCTAAGCAATCTAGAAATCTCTGCAAGCAATTGAGTTCAAGGACATTTGGTGAGTACAGAACATGATCAGGCATTTCCCTGGAATTCTTGATTGCCATAACAAAAATAAAATAAAATAAATTCAAGCATTAATTATCTTGTGCTAGACAATCCACTGCTGGTGGCCATGTAAGCACAGTTAACTTGGGGCAAATGTCAGGCGTTTGTATGCTTGTCTTGATTTTGCCTACAGTCAACTAGCATTACTAACATGCAGCAATTTGCTGACATGTCTAAGTTAATTTAACTTATTTTTGTGTGGGAATAACAGTCTTAATGACCATATTTCCATCACTGACAGGAGCGGATCTGGCTATTTGGAAAGTGAGGTGTATCAGTTGTCAGACCTCCTATGTGGTGGGAGCAGTGAGGGAGAAAAGAAATTGACTGCTGTTTCCCCATCTGCAAGTTATACCCCTGAACAAAGACAGAACCTAGAAAGCACTTATTTTCGAGTGTTTACCACGAAGCCTAAATACTGCAGCTCCTTCCTCCTCTTTTCTCAGAACAGGAGCATAATCAGATAAGGGAAGTCTGCGAATTTACACGGTCAGGAGGTTTTCACAGACGGCGGAGATTTCCACTGAGCTGGTAGCCAACAAGGCTGCAGGGGAAACACATGGCTCGCATTCAGCCCTGCCTCAGCGCAGCCGGAGCGTGAGCAGCTCTAACACTGAGCAGACCCTGCTGCCACGCACGGAACGCGGCCCTCGGTGCACAGCACGCATACAAATCTCCCGGCCACGGGAGCTGACCTGCACCATACATCACGGCTCACCGACGGGGATTAATTTATCACACTCCTGGTCTACGTAAGAAATCTAGCTGTCTGCAGTGATAGAGGGGAGAAAAGGCAACTCGGCAGAAAGAGAGCAGAAGTGTATAAAAAAAAGATCACATGGGGGATCAATCAATTAGAATTCAGAGTGCACAGTATTACCCACATTGCAGGGACAGACAGCAGCTATACAGTGTCTCCAGCGGTGAGGCATGACAGGAAGTTTAATAAGAGAAGGAAGGTGTTATGAACTCCATAGAGAGCTCCCTTTTTAATTCATTAATAATCCAGTATTTTTGTCTCCCTCACCTTCATATTTCCAAAAGTTCATATACCACCTTAATCATTGCCTCTTCCTAATATGCCTCAGCCAAGCACCACACACTTCTTGCATGCCCTTTGTGCTGTCCTCTCCCCTCCTCTCTCTTCCTGAGCAGAGCACTGAGCATGCTGCACAGGTACTTAGGTGTGTGTATCTGGGGCTTGTTTTCACGGAAGACCAAGCTGAAAAAGTGCAGATTCATTGGCACATGTGTATGGATGATGCTGCTGCTAGAACAGACCCACATGAATGCCCATCTCATAACTCACACCATGTGGATGGCACCAGGCAGCTCCTCTGGACCTGCAGGAGGGCTTACTGGCCAAACACTTCTAACCTCCCATTTTGGGCTATGAGCTGTTTGGCTCAGGTTACTAAATGCTGTGAAAAGGTCAAGGACCTGAAGATGTGATCTCATGTTTCCACAGGTATCCAGGATACAAGGCAGATATCCTTGTGGACACCTGATCTTTTGCTACACTGATAACCACATATCTGGATATCGGCACAGCATTGAAGCAAGCTGCAGGTATCATCAGAGCACTCTAACACCACAATATTGCAAGAGAAGATGGATAACATAAGCCCGAAAAAAATATTCTTGCCAGGAATTTAAGACTTAGGTTTTAAAAAAGGCATATATTGCTTGCAGATTTCGGACAGCAAAAATCACTCTCTTAGCTGTTATACCCCTTTTCTAAAGAAAATTAACTCTGGACAATGTGAAATGAGTGTCTGTTCATACGAACAAAATTCCTTGTAGCTTTCTTTACAAATTTTAAGAATCTTGAATAAAACAAAACAAGAACCTAAGGTTCTAAAGGCAAAACCACCCTTGCAAACAAATGGAAAATCCCAGAAAACAACTTCAACACCAAGTGTACCTTATTTGGTTCCATTAAATTCAACCTTGCAGGAAGATTTCTGTTTTTCTTTTCCTCTTTTTTTGCCTCCGAGCAGGAACTCCAGCTTGTTGCATATCTAGCTGCCAGAGCTTTATTACAGGTGTTCCTGTCCCCTGAGCACCTATGTGGGTCAGTGTTGTAGCTGGTCCAGGCAGACTTAAAATCACATCTGTGTGTACTGGAGCGTGATGTGATGGATACCAAGGCCATGGGGGCTGTCTCTTGGGATCAGCCCAGCACAAGGAGAGGGGCAGTGAGGAGAGCTGTGCAGCCTTCTCCTTTTAGCAATCCTTAGTGGGGCGTACAAAGGGAAGGGACAGATGACGGACACCTGGTTGTCTCTAGGGGTACTCCTTTAAGAGTGAATTAGACCCCAAGAGCTGTCATGTGGTCTTCCAGCTTTGCTAATCTGACCTTCTTGTGGGCTGTGATCATTACCACTACTTCATCAGCACTCGTGGAGAGACTAAAGGTGAAGAGCTGTTTTCATTAGGCAGCATGGATGAAGCCATGGGGGGAGAAGAACACCTATGCCATGGGCTCCATAAATGTTCTCTGGCTGATTTTCTCCACCAGCACAGGAAAATCTAAATGACTGTCTTGAAGCAGCTGGAAGTGAGTCTGCCATGGGCAACCTCCACTGACAAAGCATGGGCAGCAGCCCTCCTTCACACTCTGCAAGGAAAAGGGGGACTTTACAACCCTGCACAAAGAGGGCTGCAAATGAAGAAGAATTAGCCTAAGATGAATACGCTGGCACCTACAAAGCAAGCCCCTTTCAGTGTTAACTGTGTGTAAAAAAATTTAGTGCAAAATTGCAAAACAATTAGAAGAGAAAACTGCTTTTGAAATTGTAGCCTGGGTCCTACTTCTAAAGAGCCTTTTATCTTTCCTGCGTCCCTTGAATTCAGAAAGGATTCTCTCCACATTCTAGATCATCTGTCTCCCTGTTTAATAGCAGTCTAATTATGATTATTTATTAATATTTTATAGAAACTTTTCCCTTATTCTGTGTGTGAAGATAAAACACAGTAACTTACCAGCCCCTATTTTCCTTCAGCCAGACTGACAGCCCCATCACAAGACATCAGTGGTCTATGAAATGGTCAAGAAGCTTCACAGCCTATTTTTTTCTGAAATGAATTCTAGAAAGTTTTCTTTAAAAAACATATCTACTACCAATGACAAGGACAGTGATTCGTAAGCCATAAAGCCTTGTGAAGGCAAGATCACACATGACAACTTTTCGTTGTGTTAGACAGCTCCCATTCTTCACCATGTCAGCTCTCTAATGTGGATACCAACAACGAAGGAAGTATTTCCTTAGGGAAGAAAACTTAGCAAGACACTGAGTGTTTCCCCCAGTGACCAACTGCATGTCATGAAACCCAAGGTCTGATGCTGGCTGAGCACTGGAGCAGCCGGATGGCTAAGGAAACCTCGCTGCTCTGCACGATCCCAGATGGCTTTTACTCACCTCTAGTGTAGTCAATACAATCTTCTCAACTGAAGAAAAATAAGCCTCCCACAAGAACTGTGTCTGCTGTCTAAGTGCTAGGATTTTATCCTGATGGATAGACCTGATTGTAGAAGGAATCTGTAATACAAGATGTAATATAGTCAGAAGCTTCAGAAAACAACGCAGTCTCATCAAATTAATATGCTGCTGACAAGCCCTCTCCTCTATTAGCAATCTGCACAGCTTCAGTGCTCCTATCCAACAGGATGTGTGTGCCAACAGTTAGAGCCCTGATGGAGATACAGATGAGACACAGCCCTTTACAACCTTTGCTATTGGCACACTAGAATATATGATTTTCTTTTTTTAATTTGCCTTCTCTCAGTTTTTGGTTGTTTCTATGGAAGCAAAAATTTCCTCTCCCCGTCACTCCGCAGCACTGCGCTGTGTCACAGTGAGCAGCTCCTCCATAAATCCCTCACACACAGCTTTTCATGGACTGGCAGTTCAGCAGACTGGAACCTGCAGGACTCTGGGTCCAACGATAATCCCCACTCTCAGAGTATATTAAAGGGATCTGGAATTGCATTTACACAGCATGGCAATACTAAGTGCCCTGAGGAAAACACAGCGACATCTGAAGCAAGACTCCACTTTTTGGGAACCTGTGGATCAAATTGCATTTTACTCATTATTGTGGGAGGAAAGAGTAATGTCTCTCACAACACCTGGTATTCACAAGGGAAAACACTGCTTTCTTTTCCCCTTCTCCATTAAAGCAACATTTTAAGTTGCCTTACAAAGAAAACCCCCTTTGTCCTGCTGCAGTGACTTGTGATTGAAAATCGGGACTGCTGGCTGGATCACAAAAGGGCTTCCCTTCTACCTCCATCCCCACATCCCTCTTCCACACTGGAGGGAAGCTAACGAGCATACATGCCGCTGGTTAACTTCTTAGGACCTTGACCACGGCCTCCACTACACTACTTTGACAACGCAAATTGACATTATCAAGGGAATTTAACTGCAATTTGCTTCAATTACAAGGGCTACTCACAGCACTGGAAAGGCCTCTAAGATATTTTGCACATCTGTGCTCATTTCTTTCAGGAATGAGGAGCTGTGCCTTTGCACCTACTCTCTTTGTGATTTCGAATTAGGTCACTTTCAGACAGCCATTTTTCACAGAGCTTTCAGCTCAGTCGTGAGCTGCAGAAGTATATGCCTCAGCTGTGTGATGCTCTTTGCACATCCCAGCTCACTCTGAAATTTAACTGCATCCCAACACATCCACTCTTCCCTGGCCAAAAACACTTCGCTTATTCCTAAAACATTCTGAGAGGTGGAAATGATTGTTATTTGGTTTCATGTGCTCTTCAATCAAACAATTTCCTATTACACATTTAATTGGAGTTGTTAAGAATTTGCATGTAATGCATTTTCCACAAGAATCAGTATGTTTTTTACTGCATTGCTTGCATTCAGTTCTACACAGAGCATCCCAAAAGAGAGTGGGTCCACAGTGCAGTGTCAGATGCAATAATCTTGACTCTGCTAAAGACACAGTTATATATAGTAAGAAATTTGAGCTTCCAAGAAAGTAATGACTGTAGTCAAGAGGAAATATTCAGAACGTTAAGGCCGGTTCATTCACCATATTCCCTGTATGTCTTCAGGTAAAACATTCCCTTCAAAAAAGTATGAAAAACAGAAGCTAAACCCAGGCTTTCGTACATGTTTTTTTAACCAACCATGCTGCTGTTGCAGAATGGTGTTTAACTGCACCTAATTTTATTCAGGGAGGGGAATATTCTTTGTCTTCATTACTTTTTCAGTAAATTCCAGTAAGTACTGGGTTAATGAACACAGTGGCTCTGGGCAGCCTGGTCTAGTGGTTGGCAACCCTGCCCGTGGCAGAGGGGTTGAAACGAGATGATCTTTGGGGTCCTTTCCAACCCAGGCCATTCTATGATTCTACGAGTCTGTGAGTCTATACTGGCTACCCACACAAACATATTAATCACACCCATGATCATTACCAAAAACAATCATACAATTAAAGCCACTTCACAGGTGCAATATAGCACTTCTTTCTAAAAACTTAAAACATTCAATCGCATTATTCATAGCCTCACATGTGTGTAAATACAGGTGAGAGCAAGAGAAGAAATCAATATCCATTCACCACCATACCCCTGAATGTGAAGGCCGCTGTGCCTAAGAAGGGCACTGCAAGAAGTCAGGGTTTCACAGACCAGCCTATGCTTGCAGTCAGGCAATGCCAGTGCCAAGGTTAAAAAAAAGCCTTGGTGCCCACTTTCTTGCAACAGCTGGAAAGGAAAATCTGAGCTCCCATTTTAACTGCATTTGCTTATTAGTTATTAATCTACTTGTCCAGATAGACAGGTGGGGAAAATGATGTATTAATACTAATCTGGCAGGATTACACTGGAATTACTAGAACTGGATGACGTCTTAATAAAAGGTCATTTCAGTAGTAAGTCGGGGGAAGGGAACAACCACCTTGCAAAAATAAATGCAGAAAGGCTGGATTAAATTCTCCTAGTGCTGTGATGAGGAGAATATGCAAATAAAAACATCCGAGCTGCTCTAAAACAGGAAATGAAAAACTGTAACATAACAAAAACATTTCCCAGAGCAGACATTCAGGCCCTCTGCCAGCTCTTTAAAAACAGTGTTAATAATGGTGCAGTAGCTGTTCAATATGGAAGCAGCTGTGAGGAGAGCGAACGGCATGTTACCGGAAAGCATGAAGATCAGCAAATTATTATCATTTAAAGAGAGAAATAATTTTGCTCAGAAAAAAAAAACACTGTCCACTGAAGCAAAATCCAAACATCTTTCTCTGGGTTGCAGCTTGTGTCTCATTATCGACAACAGGCAGTCCTTCACAAGGCTTGCTAGGCCAGCTCTTTACAAATATTTACATCTTCAGACAAGTAAGTAGGCATCTAATGAGATTTTTAAAGGTACTTCAATTTCTGGGTGACAACCCCCCTGCACCTCTGAACACTCCTCTCCACAGATGGAAACAGCTCACCACTCTGGAAATGAATAGATAATAACAGAACCCTTCTTCCCATGGGACAAGCCAGCATGCGCTAGTGCGCTATGTGCTCCGCAAACAGCACACTCTGTCCCAAAGCTGCAAAATCCACATTTTGGAAAAAGAGTTCTAAATGTTGTCTTGTCCTCATTAATACATTTTCAAGAGGTCAGGAAGAACATCAGTGCTACTGATGCAGAATGACTACATACGAGACGCACAGTGGCCACTGCAGATCTCGTAGGTCTCAGCTTTGGGCTGAGCAACGGTGTTCCAACAAACGCTGCTTTGAGGAAAGCATTTTTTCAAGAACTTTTCCAAATATCAACTTCTCAACATTCTTTAAAAATCTATAAAGAATTTTGAAAGACTACAGTGTCCACCAGGGAAACAGAAAAAAACACTTAGTAGATTTAAAGACAAAAGCAGATGCTGAAGGTAACAGGGCATTTCTAGTTTCTCAGCTCACTTCTATTCCATGATCTTGGGGAGATTAACAATGAAGGATGTGAGCAATGCTTCAGAAAGAAGTGCTGCATGTTCTGGACGTCAAAAAGACTCAGGATCTCCTTCCCACAAAACTGTCAGGTATTAACTCTGGCCTGAGAGATAGCTTTGCTCAGGAGCCAGCCATTCCAGCAGCACTGGCGGAGCCCCGAGGTCCAGCTCTTTCTAAAGGAGAGCAGGAACTGCCTTCAGCTTCTTCTCCTTCCCCACAGTTCCAGTTCCAGACAGCCCTGCTTGGGAGAGGCATCCACCAGAGAAAATGTCAAGCTCTTAGGCAAAATAAAAAAGCCTCCTGCGTTCAAGCATGTGGCCTACTGGCTGCATGACCTTCAGGTCAGAATACGAATGATGTCATATTAAATGAGTTCATCGCTGGCGTGACACAGACAATCCCTTCATGATAAAAATTCTTTTACAGCTCTGACCTTTTGGATTCATCTTCCTTGTCCGTTTAGGCGGCAGCAGACAACAATCAACTCATCTGCTGATGGTCGCCGTCTTTTTCTTACCTGTAATAGCAACCTCTCATCCCCGATGACGGCAGCCTGCTTCCAATCAATCACTTCTGAGAATGGCAGTTCCCATCCATTGCTGAGCATCACGGGCACACAGGCAGCCTGCACAGAACCACTGCACTTGTTAGCAGGTGTAACCCAGCCCAGCCAACAATTAGCACAAGCCCAAGTGCAACTACTGTTTTCTTCATGGGTTCTTCCCAACACTCATGCAAGGTTGTCAGAAGACAAAGCAACAAGGTGAAGAAATCAGATCATATCCCACATTCCCATGTTTTTCCTTTTTGGGATTATTCAAATTAAGCAAAAGTGGAGTTGGCATGTAGAGTGTGATTTTGAAATGCGGTGCTTTATACTAACAGCTGAGGGCAAAGCTGTTAAAATTCTGCAAACATAACCCCAGAGGATTTAATACAAACCAACGGCCTTCAATGGCTTTGTGAAGAATTCAGCAGGGACCTAGCTCCCTCAAGTTTCATAATACCTTGTGAGACAACCCTACAGAAAGTACACATAATACGCAGGTCACTCCTAAAGTAATGCCTCCTGTATATTTCCATGAAAACTACAGCAGATACAGAGAACACAGTAACACTACTTGATAGAACAAATTCTCAGCTACAAGACACTATTTTTCAACAAGGTCACCACCATTAGCTATGCATTTTTGCTAGCGATGAACAAGAGCCTGCATGCCACGCTTCTAGAAATCTACACCAGTGGAAGTGACCTACTGTCACTGTCAGCACTGCTGGAATGCACCAGCCACTGCCCCCCTGTGCTCACATCCACTGTTTGGTCTCCATAAATGTTCAGCAAGTGTCGACGAATGTCACTGGGTGCCATTTTTTCCACATGGAAGAATTCAATTCCACCCCTTCGCTTCATATGCATTTCCACGTCAGATGCCATTTTGTCAAACTGCCCCTCAGCTGTCATCTGTCACACGGCAACAACATGTAACTGAGTACAGGCAGGAAGGTTCGGACTCTACTGCTATACCACCACCATTTGCCTCTGACGTCGGGGGCCAACATCATAGGATAGGAGGCATTGCTTTTGGAGCAGCCCTTGTATGTAATTCCTGAGCACTTCTTCCATCTAGGAGGAGCGAATTCCCCATCCTGCTTGATAACAGCTCTCTGAGCAGAAGTGACTGCACAAACACAGCTCATCTTTCATTATCTGCCTATAAAAACAATAATTGCTTTTGGTCTTAAAACAAACAAAAAGCATGTAAGTTTAGTATTTATTTCTAATCAGTATGGTTTATCTAAATTACTTTATCTTTTATGAGTTGTGTAAAGTCCTCTACACTGAGAGCAAGTTTGCAAATATTTGGTAAATAGCGCCATGTGTCCATAAATAAATGATCACTACGACATTCCCTATAGCTGGATGACAATGTAAGATCCCAGCCAAAAGCCTGCTGAAGTGATGGAACAACCTGTTACTGGAGGATCTGCATTAGCCTGTGCTTTAGTTCATTTTCTTTGGATAAAGCCAAGATTGTGAGCTCTGAATATGGTCCATACTGAGGTCTGTCCCCCTGTACCTTCTGAAGAATGGCATAAAGGGCAACTTCACAGGCTGCTGTACCTTCCTTTTTAACATACATAGAGGATCTTAAGACTAGCCGCATATCTGCATTACAGCAGTGCTTACAATGTGTAAAGAACTGTTATCTTCTGTGAGGAAACGACATTAGTGCATGAAAAAAAGCCAACCAGAAAACACTTAGCAATGTGTTTTCATGTTTAAAACATTTCACTAATGTGGATTATGTTTTTTAACATGCCCTGGAGCCAGACAGAAATTGGGAATTCATCATAATCAGTGTATACTGCTGCTACTCTGGCAGGAAAATCCTCAGTGCCTGCATTTTATCTTGGCCGATCTGAAGCCTCCAAGTTCTGAACAGCGAGGTACGCTCTCGGCTTTCTTCTCCTGAGAAGATTTATCTAACAAGAGCTGCATGACTTGTGGCCCACTCAAGAAAAACGCTAAGCAGCGTTTTTCAGAAGTTTCTGAAGCCACTTGTCATCCCAAAGAAACCAATCTGACTGCTCTCACCAAAGAGGCTGGAGACAGAACAGCACTTTGAGAGCTCCCTACCTCCCCTATGAAGACAGGCTGAGGGAGCTGGGCTTGTTCAAACTGGAGAAGAGAAAGCTGTGGGGTAACCCCACTGCAGCCTTCCAGTACCTAAAGAGAGCCTACAAACAAGGTAGTCAACTTTTTACTTGGGTAGACAGTGATAGGATAAGGGAGAATGGTTTTAAACCGAAGGAGGAAGGTTTAGATTTGATATCAGGGGGAAATTATTCACAGAGAGAGCTGTAAGGTGCTGGAACAGGCTGCCCAGACAAGCTTTGGATGCCCTGTCCCTGGAGGTGTTCAAGACCAGGTTGGATGGGGCCTAGGGCAACCTAGTCTAGTACCAGATCTGGAGGTTGATGGCCCTGCCTGTGGCAGAGGTAATCTTTGAGGTCCCCTCCAACCCATGCCATTCTATGATCCTATGACTCTTTGAGGGCTATTTAACTTCACCTGAGTAGAGCAAAGAGGAAAATGACAGTCCTGGATCTCTTGTAGGTTAGCACGTGTTGATTTGTAGGCTAAATGTAAGTGTTCAGTGCTTCCAAGATGCTCTAGGATATCCAAGGCACTCACCCAAGGTTGGCAGACATGAAAACACCTAATGGGAGATCTTGAATCCTTCAGGAGAAGCAGCAGAAAGTCAAAAGGGTGCTGCTGGGCTTCAAATACAACATCATACACCTAGACTTAGGTACCTGAATGCTGCTCTTCATTACGATAAACAGTACTCTGTGATAGCAACTGGAATGCTTTGTGGTTAATGAACAGGTCTGTTGTGATAGGACAAGGGGAGATGGTTTTAAACTAAAAGAAGGGTGATTAAGCTGGATATAAGGACAATGTTTTTTACAGTAATAGTGGTGAAGCACTGGAACAGCTTGCCCGGAGATGTGGCAGATGCCCCATCCCTGCAGACATTCAAGGTCAGGCAGGATGGGGCTCTGAGCACCCTGCTCTAGCTGTAGATGCCCCTGTTCATTGCAGGGGAAGTGGACTAGATGGCCTCTTAGCGTGCCTTCCAACTCAAATGATTCTAGGAGTCTATGATTCTAAGAGAACTGTTGTGATGCTATTCACTAATAGCTCTATTGCCAACTCCAAGACACTTCTCAAATGGCAAAACAGTGCCTAAAGCCAGGACCCTCTACAGTGTCCTCATCTGCCTCCTCTCTGACATCAAGAAATGCCCCAGCCTTCCGCTGGGAAAAAGTGCCTTTCACTCTGGCTCCTACAAGCAGGAAATACAGATGCAAATCCCAGAGGGGAGCTGCAGCATCTGTACAATTGACGAAGCTTAGGACCCCAGGGATGAGCTGATGCTTGCAAAAAAAAAAAGACACTGTCTGCATCCAACGTAGGTCAGTGTCAGTCAGCCTGGAGACAGAAACCTGATCATCACACTGCTGAACCTGGTTGCCACAGAGACTCAAAGAGCCTCACTGCATTGCCCTCTTCTGCTGGTCAACAGTAATAAAGGAAGACTATGAACCAAAAATGCTTTTAGAAGGTGAAAAGGATTTGGGTGCTGTCCAAAACATGCTGCAAACTCCCCAAGATCAGTCTACATCCATCTCTCCATGATGATTCCATCTGGAGCTCTACAACCTCCAGACCACCTTCAGAATGCTCAGCAAGCAGCAATGAAAGCCGATGCAGGAGCAAGTCTGTTTTGGCTAAGTGACAAAGAAGAGCTATTTTACTACCCCAAGGCTTATTTGCAGAGGTCACCGTCCCCATGGGAAGTCTCACAGCTTTATAAAATACGGCTCTAAGCTGGTCCAACCTTTCAGCTTCGCCATATTCAGGGAAACCTTTTTCCTGGAGGTAATGCAATTCAACCTTCAGATGAACGCTGTGCTCAGCCCCTCCTGGGAAGAAGCTGCCAGTTGCTCCAGAAGTATGAATAGAGTCTTTCGCAAAGTGGATTACTGTCCATGAGGGAAATGAAAGACATTTCCCTCCTCCCCACCCCCTGCGATTGCATGTCGAATTGCAGCCAGCGAAACCAATGCTTTATGCTGTAGCTCTTACCTGCAAGGCTTCTAGAAACCTGAAAGAGCCAAGCCTGCGGCCGCGGGGAACCAAACAGAAAGTGGCATTGTGCAGCATTTCACGGTAATCATACCTAACAAGAACAGGAGAGAAAAGAGAAAATTGAATTAGCGGTGAGTCCTAGAGTAACTGGGCATGAAAATGCAAACAGCTGTTGAGGCACATCTGGATAAAATCATCTCTGCCCCAGGAGCCCACCTCCAGGTTAACTAGCTCCCTGCGTGCATGCGTGCACACACATGTGACCTTCTCACCCACTCTTCTCAGCCTCAAGGAGCAGCCACCATGGGAGAACACTGCAGAGCAGTAGGGACACAGAACCAAGGAAACAATCTTGCTTCTGGAAAAATTACGCAGTATCTATGTACGTAGGTGTGCATGAATTCTAACAATAAACTTGGATTAAAAGCATTAACACCAAAGACGTTGTCACAGCACCCCTGTGAACCTGATTTCTATCCAGACTTAGTCAAAGTCAAGCACAACTGTGTTCGTTCCTGCATAATAAGTTTGTGCAAAGCAAAAAATACTCAAACTCTGCCATACAAATCTTCCTTATCAACCAGGCACTAAAAGAGGGGGAGTGTTACAATGACTCTCTTGGTGGTTATTGTGAAGGGTGGTGGGAGGAGGAGGGATAAACTGCTTCAGCAGCCAAATTTTGGCAATTAACCATGGCTGCAATGACCCCTGCTCCTCTGAACTAGAACTTTAAGATTCTTCTGTTTATTTTCCCGACTCCATCAATCACTTCAAAACCATTTACCAAAAACACCCATCAAATCCTAACAGTTTCCATCCAGTTATTAGCTAATTGTACTTCTGGCAAACCTGAAGAACTGCAAATGGCATTGACCTTGCTGGAATGCTCAGTTCGAGACAAAAGGATCAGGACTAAATAACCTTTCCTCCTAAAGGGTTTCCTAGACTCCGGAGACAGATGTGATTTTGGCACTAACTTGTGGCACTGACATTTCCTAACAGTAATAATCTAATTTAATCATAGTCTGCAGGCACAGCAAGTTTTTTTGGATTTGTGTGTATGTGTGTTTATATATATATATATATGTATGTATGTATCTCTATATGATTATACTGATATATAAAAAACCCCAGATCTATGTTAGTATTCTCACCCAGGCCAGACAGATGGGAGTAAGCCAATTTTCAATTATAAGCTCCGTCTTTAAGAAGAGACATCTTGCAAAGGCCCATTTGCTTAAACAAGCGTGTACGGCTAATTTGCACAAGAAAAGGTCACTGTGAATGGATTAAGATTATCTCCACTGAGAGTAAAATAAAAACCCTCGCTGCATTAATTAAAACTACAAAACAGACTTCAAAGTACATTCTTTAAAATCGTATCTCAACTTTGGTTAAAACACATATATACACATCCCATGCGAGTGGCATGGAATCATTTCTCAGTGTGCCACATTGACAATCACCCACGTCCCAGCTCTACAGTCAGCAGTTACAAAGCACATAGGGGAAAAAAAAGAAATGCCATCTTAAAGAATTCATTTTCACATCGTAGGTCTGAGGCTCATTGCTTTCACTGTATATTGTATGACAGTAAATTTTAATAAACACCTAAAATAGAATACCCCCGGGGCAGGAATACACCAGTCACAGGGCTTATTCTTGGTGTATTCTAATGATAGCTATCATTAGCAAGCTAAAAATGTAAAATCCTGATAATATCCCGGAATGCGATAATGTCCACACAACGTCGGTGGCAGAATCAGAGCACAAAGGAAAGCAGAGAAAGAGGCCAGTGGAAGAGGGACCTCCATATGTCAGTGACGTTTTGTACTGGGCCCTCTTCCTTTCATATCTGATTTGCTGATGTTAGGACAGATTTTTGAAAGAAAATAAAAGGATTTTGTTGACCATTTCCCACCCGAAAACCAGTTAGCATCTTGCTCTCGTTTGTGCTTTTTAAAGCTGAACCTGTGATTTATTGCCTAGCTCTGGAATAGCATGGTTCATGGTCATCAAGCAATTTATCTACATCATGCATACAGAGAGAGAGCACCTCATCCTAACCTTGATGTATGGGCACAAAATTTCCACTCACTTCGGGGAGAACCTGCAAATATAACACAAGCAGACCCAGAGTAAAGCAATATCCATCATAAGATGCTGCAGCTCATGCACTGCACCAGGCATCTTCCTCATGGACAAATTTCTCCGCAGTTTCAACCTAAGTGTTTTAAGGTCACTCAACACCACCTCAAAGTGCAGTACAGAAGGACTCATTTCTGATCCCCCTTGGCAAACAGCTATTTCTTTGAAATTCTTAAAATGAGCATGCTAATTTTACTGCTGCTGATTCGTGGGCAGCATGCAAAGCTGACCTAACTGACTGGCAGCGGATAGCCCTGCATGCTTAAGTACAGACTCAGAGAAGATCCTGCCTACAAAAGCATCACGCGGGGAAGGATCCTACAGACCATGTGGCAGACATGCAGCTCCAGGGCAACTGCAAAGCAGAGCTGGAGGCATCTGGCACAGAAGGCCGATGGAAATAAAATCAGCAGTAGCAGGAAGTATAAAGGATCGAGGACAGACGGGGCTGACATGTCTACGTGCTACCGCAGGGCAGCACGATGCTCCTTCCTTCGGGGCTGCTCTGGTCCCACTGTTGATAGCATCACACCTGCTATGGGCTTGCTTTCACCTCCATTTCAGTGACTGACCCAGCGAGACCTCTGGGAGGCAATGAGCTCCTACCACTCCTTCACAGCTGGCAGGGGGGCTTAAGAAGCAGAGAAAACATCCAAGGTTTAAGGAGACTCTTCCAGAGCCTTGTTTTCTTCTCTCCAGTTCTGCTCCCAGAACCACTCACTCCCATCAGCTGGCAACACTTGAGGGCCACAGGGAGGTTTGACTGCACTACCATGGCACCTGGCAATGGGTCTGGGGCCCACGCACACCTGAGAAATGGGATCACCAACAGGGCATTTATTTCCAGAAATCTCCCGGTCTCTTGCCTTGAGGACAGTGCTGGCAGTGGCCACACTTACTGCTCCAGCACCACCCATGTCTGAGCTGCGGTGGCGTTCTGTGCCCATGTGGGGGATGGCTCACACGGGGCCCTAGCTGCACCATTCAAACACGTTACAATCCAAAACATACTTGCTTTTAAAATAAGAGTTATGATTTTAAAACTAAAATAGCTGCAGAAGTAACCCAAAGCTCACATCCCTCTGTAAGGATCAGCACTGTGCTTTATTAACTTTCAGGCTTCCTTCCAAAATGATTAAGCGCACCATGCTCACAGCTAGTACTTTTTTAGGCAGCATAAACAAATAGCTCTATTTGTAATCAATCCTAATGTATTCACACTTTAATTGAAAATCCCCTCCCTGCTCCCACCCATAGCTGGGAAAACGCGGACGGCCCCATCTATCACGCAGGTGTGAACACTGCAATGCCACGTGGGCCGTTAGCAGACAGGCGAAATGCCGCCCAGCAAAGCCTCCTGCAATGCTCGCTCCTCGACCCGCTGCTTTTCCTTTCGGATGGGCCGACCCCATCCATCAGCATGCGGTCAGGCTGCCTGGGATTCCCGCTTCCCACCATGCCGAGGAGCGCAGCCGGCGGCTCCGCGGTGACTCAGCCATGCCACGCATTCCTCCGCGCAGCTTAAGCATTTCCCCATGTCACTGAGCTCCCACAAGCTACCCTGGGAAACATTCGCACGACCAGTTTTAATAGAAACAGCTTTTTCTTTCTCAAAGAAACATCGTCATCACCACTGAGTGAAAAGAGGGCTAAAAAGGCAGCAGGCCGTTAAGACCAGCACACGTGCCCGGCTGCTCAGACATAACAGCTATTATCCATCGTACTCCACAAACTTTCCTGACTCAATCCTCTGAATGCTAATATGGGACACCACCGGCAGGAAAACCTGAAGGACAGATGTGTGTTGGCTCTTCCTGCAGCCAGGCCAGGCCCTGGAATGCCACCACCAGCATCCCTGCTGCCTCCCGCCCCTCTTGTGACAAGAGCACGTGCTGCAAGCCAACCCTGTGGTACCTCCATCAGAAGTCAGAGGGAGGAGAATACAGCAGCAGAAACAGAAACAAATACAATGGCCTCAGCCCAGCAGCACCTATTTTAACAGTGCCACATGTAATCCATCTTTTGGAAGATGCTGGAGCTCATCTTGGCAAAGAGTATCAGTGCATACCACTATAGATGTCAGATAGGACTAGAGATTCTTCTTTTCCTTCCCGAGCCAAAAATTGCTATGGCACTTCACCAAGTATGTTCAGGGCTCCCTCCCCAAATCTGTGAACCCACAGACACACAGTGCATCTTCCAAAAGAATCTAGACCAGCACAAGTGCTATGACAAAGCCAGATACGAAACACTTTTAACACAAGGCTAAATGGCAGAGCATTCTCTAGTTTTCCAATATATTAAGTTTCAGCCATTAACCAATTGGCCAGTTTTCCGTGGGTGAATTCTTAATGCAGATGGTTCTGAACTATTGGCTGGAGAGGCTGAAAAGAAACCCACTCTGTCACACGGGGAGTCTCGTTGCTTGGTTTCCATTAAGGCATGTTGGCTTTAAAATAAACTGTCAAGTAAAACTTGGCATTGGAAACAACAAGTGAGTAACTGTCTTTGTAGGAAACTTGACAACTCAGCTGTGTGTCAGACAGATAGCTGCCTGACTTGGAGCTCCAGAGCCTCGCACACCCTGCCTGGAAGGGTGCCGTCGCCATGATCTGCTTGCTTTGGGATTTACAGCCGCACGATGCTTTCAGGTGATCTTGCTGCTGGTTAACAGGCTACTGGCTGACAGTTCATTTCCCTCTCTGCAAGGACTGGTTCTGGAATCAGAAAGTTTGGAGGCGCAAAAACATAATTGGAAAACTTTTTTTTTTTTTTTCCTGCTTAAAGGGCTAATTGATTTCACAGGTGTTTAATTATCATTTGCTGTGAGATAATACCTTGTAGTGCCATAAAAAATGGATTTAATTTTCGAGTGCTTGCAAAACCATTGCCAAAGCCAAGTTAGAGCTAAAGCTAGATAATTATTCTATAAATCAAACACAC